GCCCTGCACCCTTCGCGTCCTGATGCCCGTGGGCCGCCTTAGCTGCGGCTCCCGGGTGTCCCTGTCCCCCCCGACGTGCGTCAGCCGGGCTCCCATCGCGCTCCGGACGCCAGATGTGCCTGTGCCAGATTGTGCCCGTGCCAGATGCGCCTGTGCCAGATGCGCTCTCGGCGGAAAAATGTGCGTGCCGGGGCCGGGACCGGGGCGGGCAGGGCTGGTGCCGCCCGCATTCCGCGGCGGCCGCGCTGGCTCTGCCCCAGCGGGCCCTGGGCCGGCACTGGTTGCCGCTCCCTGACGGGCCCCCCCCACCCACGGGGTATCACGGGTGGGTGTCACAGGGGGTGTCACCGGTGGGCGGGTGCTGGCGGGGCTCCCCGTGGCGCCGCGGGCGCGTGGTTGGACCGTGAGTCACGGTGAGACGGGGCCGCGGCCCCGTGTCCTTGGACTCCACACCGGTGTCGGGTGTGGAAACTGACGTGGGTGCTGGGGTGTAGATGTAGATGTTGGGGTGCAGAACATGGGCCCCGGGGCACTGCTGTGTATGTTGGGGTACAGACCTGGGAGCTGGGGTGCAGATGTGGGTGCTGGGGCCCAGGCTGTGTCAGGCTGGCAGCACTCAGCGTGCCTGAGGCTGCACTTTCCCCAGCAGCTGCCACTCCTGCTATGGGTGACGTGGGTGACACTAGTGACGTGGGTGACATTGGTGACATGGATGACATGGGTGCTGCCATCAGCAGAGCTGTCAGCCCCGTGCTGCTCTGAGGGGCTGTGGATTCCCATCCTGTGCCAGCTCCTCTGGGGATCCCAAACTCTGAGAGCCCCAAGGAGGGACATCCCAGGAGGATACAGCACCCAGCGGGGTGCAACCCCCAGAATCCCCCTGTGGTTCCCATGGCCAGCAGTGTCACCCTGTCGGGGGATGCAGTGGGAGATGGGTCCCTGAGGAGGGGCATTCCTCCAGTGCTGCCAATACCCCTGCCCAACATGAGCCCCCGTGGGTGCCACCCCTTTGGGTGCTGTCCTGGGGTGCTTGGTGCGAGTGGAGCCACTGGCAGGGGTGGGAGCAGCCACTGGTGTGAGCAGGGGGCACCTGGTGGGTCCGTGGGGCTCAGCCCCTCCATTTTCAGGGTCCTGCAGCCCAGGGGATTGGGACCGTGAACCCCCCAGGAGGGGCCCTGGGACTCTGAGCCCCCCAAGTACAGGACTTGGACCTGGCAAACCTTCAGGGACCTGAGCCAGAGGGTGGAGAGAGCAGGAGTCCTGTGGTACCAGGGCATGGTCTGGGGTTGCTGGGAGGTCCCTGGGCTGGGGAAGGAGGTGGTGCCATGGCCCTCAGAGGAGCTGGGGGTCCCAACTGGGAGCTGAGGGGCCGGGTAACCCCTGACCATGGGGCCAGAAGGGTTTTGGGAACCCTCAGTATGGGGCCAGAAGAGTCCTGAGCTGGGAATGTGGGATCCTGGGCCTCTGGGGCTTGTAAATGTTGGGGTCCCAGGATGTGGGGACTGGGGGTCTGACATCATTAGGCTGTGGTGTTGGGGGTCCCAAACCCTCAGGGCTTGTGAACCTAGGGGTCCCGAAGCCCTAGGGGGTGTGTGTGTTGGGGATCCCAAACCCCAGGCTTGTGGACCTGGGGTTCCCAAGGTCCCGGAGCGTGGGGCAGAGGGTCTGGCAGCTCCGGCTGTGAGGATCAAGGTTTCCGAGCACCACGAGCTTCAGGACCGGTGCTCCCACCCCCCGCTCTTGCAGAACTGGAGGTCCTGCGACCCCGGGCGTGCGGCGGGGGATGCCGGCTTCCCGTGGGGTGCCCCATGGCAGATCAGTGGGTCTGTGCCCCATTCCGGCTGCCGGCGCGGGAAGGGAAGGGTTAAAGCGGCGCCGTGGGCTTGGGAGTTTCCTGTGGGCAGGGTCGGGGCATGGGGCGGGGGGATGAAGGCCCGTCTCCTCCCCCGGCCGCCCCACTCGCGGCGGGACCGGCAAGGGAGCGGGAGGTGAGACGAGCTGTGTCGGGGCTCAGCCATGTCCCGACAGCGGCGCAACCCGGAGGAGGCTCCGGTGGCGGCCACCCGGACGGGCTCCGAGGACAACCTGTACCTGGCTGTGCTGCGGGCGGCCGAGGGCCGCAAAGGTACCGCGCCGAGGCGTGTGGGAGGGGAAGCCGCCCCACCATTGCATCCCTCACCTGGGGCGGTGTCCCCGGGGCAGGCTGTGGGACAGACTCCCATACCAGGGCGGTGTCCCTGGGGGAGACCCCCATGCTGGGACAGTGTCCCTGGGGAGGTGTGTCCCCAGGTAGGCTGTGGGGCTGGCTGTGGGGCAAGCTCTCACACCAGGGCGGTGTCCCTGGGGCAGACCCCCACGCCGGGGCAGTGTCCCCAGGTTAACGTCCCCAGGGCAGCCTATGGGGCAGGCTGTGGGTCAGACCCCCATGCTGGGGTGGTGTCCCCGGCAGGCCGTGGGGCAGACCCCCCCATACTGGGACAGTGTCCCTGTGACTGGCTATGGGGCAGAGTGTGGGTCAGACCCCCACGCCGCCGCCCATCCCCATCCCCGGTGCCCGTCGGTCTCTTCCTGCCACGCCCTGCCCAGCCGCTGTGGCCTGGCTGCGGCGGTCGCTCCGCCGCTGCCACGGAGCGGGCGCCGCCGTGGGGACCCTCTGGGTGTCAGTGTTCCCGGCGAGGGTGCCGGGGCGCGGTGCGAGTGCCCCCGACTCGGTGCGCAGTGTGCCCCACGCTTCCTTCCTTCCTTTCTCTCACACCGCGGCCACTCCCGGCCCGGCACGCCCTGGCTGTGCCGCTGAGCTGCTGAGCGTCCTCGGGCCCGTGGGGCAGTTCTGGGTGCGCGGCGTCCCCAGGTGCTCGCCCGGGTGGGGGGTGTTGGCTGTGGGGTGCTGGGTGCCGCGTGGGCAGATCCCGGCACGCTCCGGCAGGGCAAGACCCGGCACGCGGCACCTGGCTCGCGGTGGTGTGGGCAGGGGGGCGTCCCGGCGGCCATGGGGTTGGTGGCATTGCCCCACGTGCACGGAGTGTCCCCTCTGGTCACCGACCTCTCCTGGGCACCGGACTGGGTCTGGTGCTGGTGGTGACACTGGGGGCCAGGGGGCAGCGGGAACAGAAGGATGGGTGCTGGGGGGTGGGTTTGTTAGCGGGGTGCAGGGCAGTGGGTGGGTTAGTGGGGTGCAGGGCAGTGGGTGGGTTAGTGGG